AGCCCTGCGTACCCTCCCCCCAGCTCTTCTGGGTGGTCTGTGACCAGCTGGGGTGACCCCCGATCCCTGGCTGTGGGTTGTGCTGGCCTGCGAAAAACCCTTGGTAGTGCCGGGCGCATCATCAATTATTCTTTTTGTAAAAACAGTTTCGTAGAGTTTCAGCCAAACAGCCGCGCAGGCGCCTTTGCAGAATTAGACAAAAGGAGCTGAAGGCCGGGGCTTCCCACGCCTCCCCGACCGCAGACACACGGAGGACGGCGACGCCCGCGGTCCCCTCGGCCAGGAGCCATCCCTGCCGCCGCCACCTCGGGGCTCAGACGACTCTCCCGGGAGCCCCAGGGGCGGGCGCCGCTGATGGCTGGCCGCATCAGGCGCGGCCCCTGGACAGGCCCCAGGAAGGAACGGGGCGGCCGAGCCACCCCCGAGCCACCCCCGGCTCTGGGAAAGGGCTCCTCGCTGCTGCTGGCCCCTGCTCCTTGGTCCTTGCCCCTGAGCGCGCCCCCCGCTCCTGGCGCGCACTGTGTCCCTCTGCGCGAGCCCTGCCCGCGGCCAGGACGTCGTGTCCTCAAGGCCCAGCCGGAGGCCGACTCTGAGCGCCCAGCGCCCGGTCCAGGGCAAATGCCTCCCCAGCTCCTCCGAAGCGCCCGCGCTCAGCCTGCCCCCTGCCCTGCTCCATTTGTGTCTGCTCCCCGCGGGCCGAGGCTCCATGGGGACCCACACCCCAAATAAAGAACGGGGGCGCTCTGCTCCAGCTGGAGGTGCAGGGTTCGAGGTGCCCACCTGTGCTCGCCAGGCAGCCTCTGGAGAAGGGGCGGCGTGGAGAGAAGGCTGGTCTGGCCTCTGGAGTCTCGGTCTGGCGTCAGCTGGCGAGGCTTGTGCTTGTCCTGCCCCTCTGGGCCTTTGGTCAGCGAGGGGGCTCTGGGGGCCGGGCGTGGCTGGAGCACGGCGTGTAGAGACGTCAGCTGGACAGGGCAGCAACGGCGCGGACGGAGCTTCCAGGAGCTGGCTCTGGCGGCAGCGGGAGGGTGTGCAGGCAAGGGGGAGGCATCGTAAACCTCTGGATAGAAATCTTGGGGCCTGGTTTGCCATAGAGTGGGGTGCAGGCGGAGCAGAGAGGAGGGCCTAGAGCCTCTTGAGCACCCCAGCCCTAGCTGCCTTTGAGCAAGAGGCAGACGCCAGGTCCGGCCGGTGGCGGACGGCTGGCTGGGGGCCGGGTCGCGTGGGAGCTGCCCAGCAGGGGTGTCCGGAGAGGTTTGTGTGGGGGCAGGAGTTGGGGTCCGGGCGGGGAGGAGGCCCAGGAGGCAGGTGACGGGGGCTGACCCGGGGGTGGACACAGAGGTGGACACACCCTCCCCTCGCTGTCCCGTTTTGCCAGCTGGGTGGCAGCGGTGCTTGGGGGCCCTCCTGGGAAGTGCGTCTCCTCCTTGGAGAGGCTAAGCTCGGGGCAAAGGGCAGGGCCCCCTCCCAGGCTCAGGGCTGGTTTGCTGCTTTGGACCCAGCCGTTTGGCACTGACCCCCCACAGAGTCCGGTTACCCCATGAAGCAGGGGTGAGACCCTCGCGGTGGCTGGGATGACGGGGAGGAGACACAGAGGGGGGTCTTCCTCCGACTGTGCCATGGGGTGTCAGCCCCACGACAGGGAAGGCGGCCGCGAGGTCTGGGGCGAGCTGACGTTTCTCGCCCTGCGTCTCCCCGAGGGGAGGGGCTGTGGGTGCTCTCCCTGCAGCTGCCCCGTCACACGGTCCAGCGGGGCTCAGGAGCCCCTCGGAGGGGGCTCATCTATAATAATAATCGAGACACGGGGCGAGCTCTGCCGGGACATGCTGAGCAGCGGGACTATGTCAGGTATGCAGCCGCCAGCCGCCGCCCCCCGGCTCTCCTGGGTCCTCAGGACCAGCAGAGCGGTCTGGGCTCGGCGCACTGGCCGCATGGTGGCCACTGGCAGGACGCTCCATGTGCCCAGGCAGCGTGTTCTGGAACTTTCCTCCGTGTCACGTGGCACTGTGAGGGAGAGACAGGGCTGCGGGGCTGTCCTGTCTGGGACACCTCCCTTGGAGCCGCAGTCCCCTGGTGAGGGGGATTCCTGTCCCCAGCCCCCTGGTGAGGGCTGGGGCTGCAGGGCGAGGCGGCGTCCAGGCGTCCATTCCAGGCCTCTGCCCTCCCCCCCCCCATCTAGCCTCCTCTCTGCTTGGTCGGCTCTCAGGGGACTTGACCTTCCTCTTGCCCTCGGTCTGTGCTGCTCGTCTGGGCTGGGGCTTGCGCCTCCGTCGGGGAGTAGCTGGGGCCGTGATGCTCGCCTCTCTCTGGTCCATCCTGCTCGCGCTTGGCAAGGCCACGTGGTGTCCCCTGAGCTTCCACCGTCTCTGTTCCAGCACCTTGTCCACACGGGCCCATGACCCCCTCCTCCTGCCGTGGCTCTCGAGCGCCCGCCGTGGTCAGCCCTGGGGCCAGGCGGGCGAGGCCTGAAGCTCAACGGCCGCAGGTCACGGCCCTTGTCCCGGTGCCCCTCAGGTGGTGAGGTCCGATGTCACGACTTGTGCCCAGGGCTGTGTCTGCAGTGTGCACCCCATCAACCGCCTGAGGGCCAAGGCCCCTGTGCTCCCAGACCAGAAATGCAAGCACCCCAGAACCCCCCAGAGCTCCAGAGCCCCCAGAACCCCCGAAAACCCTCCTGAGCTCCCCAGAGCCCTCGAGAGCCCCCAAGAGCCACATGCCCTTGGCCCCAACAGACACGGCTGGGGGCGGGGGCTGAGGAAACAGGCTGGAGGAGGGGGGAGCTTCTCCTTTCTATGGTGTTCGCACTGACTCTTACCTCGGCCTTCTCCGACTCAAATCTCCATCTTCTCCGAGAAGAGGAGAGAAGACTCAAACGCCCCCCAGCATCCCTTAGCCCCCCTCCAAACCTCGGTCCTAGCCGCCCCGCCCCCCCCAGTCACCCCAACCGGTCGTCAGCATCCGTGGTTTCTTTTCCCTGTGGGTCCCTCGGCGTTGCTCCTCGCTCCCCAAGACGCAGGCCGCCAGCGCACGTCTCCCTGGCTAAGCCCGCGTGCACGGCCCCCCAGGCCCCCCACGCCCGGCCTCTCGGGCAGTCCTCGGTGGGGACAAGCCCCGCGCTCTGTGGGGCACCAGGGTCAGGCGGCTGAGCGACTTCCCGGCCTGTCTCCTGGGGCAGGTGCCCGCAGCGGGGGGCCGCCGACCGTGGGGAGCTCCGCCTTTCAGGTGCCCCTCCAGACGCACCCCATCCAGATTCGCTGTCTTGTTGGTGAAATCCCTGGGACCCAGCACCCGGCCCTCGCTCGCCACCCGGCCTCGGGGACCCTGCGCTGGACGCCCGCAGCTACACGAGGCCACACGGGCTGGTGAGGGGGCGGCGCGGGACCCGCAGACTCAGGCCCAAGCCCCAGACCGGCCTCCCTGCCTCCAGCCGCCGCGGCCAGGCCTGCCCCTCCAGAGCGGGCGGGGGCGGCTCTGGGCCAGGAATGTGGCCCGCGGTGCCGAGAGGCCACGGAGGTCCCCCGGGGCCCGCGCTCGAGCTCAGGCTCCGGGACCCCGGCCTTCGGGGAGCACAGGCGAGACATGAAGGTGAAGGCCCGAGGGGACCTACATTTTTCAAAGAGAAAAAAAGGGCTTAATTATATCTTCAAGAGGCACAGACACGCCGAGGAGGCCGCGCGTCTGAGACCCCGAGCAGAAATGCCGAGGATGGGGATTTGGGAGATTAGCGGCTGGACTGGCGCGGGGCCTCTCCCTCCCTGGGGTTTTGGGGAGGTGGGGAGGTGCACCCCCACAGTACGAGGGGGAGCGCGCCTCTGCCTTGGCCTATGAGTATTGCTGAAGCTCCTTTTGCATGGAGTTGAGTTTAATCAGTTACGCGGTGTCCGGGGCCCCCTTCTATTCAGGACAAAGGCTGGCCCCGTCCCAAGCTGCGGGGGCTCCGGGGCCGCCATCCCCCTGCCCCCCTCCCTCCTCCCCGTGCTCTCTCCGCCTTCTGTCTCCGCCGCCGCCCGCTCGGTCACCACGGCCCTCCTGCTGGCCCTGCCCAGGCCCTGGCGGGGTCGGGGGACGGAGGGGCAGGACCAGGCCTCGGCTGGCAGGCGGCGGGCCGGCCGGGCTGGCGGGTGTGGGTGATGGTCCACGGCTGGTTGAACGGCTGGGTCTGTGGGTGGACGGTGGGGGGTGGGTGGGGGGTGGTAGGAAACTTGCGAAGAAACGAGCGGGACGTGGAGGGAAGGATGAGGCCGGGGGAGCGCGGGCTGTCTTGGGGAGAGGGGCACAGGGCGGGGGTCTGCCCCAGGCTTCCCTCGGATGCAAGCTCATCTCTGCAGCGGGGTCGCGTTTACACAGCAGTGACGCGTGTGCGAGACCCCAGGGCTAACTGTGAATCAGACACCGCGCGCTAGAAAATACGTGCACTGAAATATAGTTCCCTTGGGAAGAGTGTATTTGTGTATTTAATGAATTTACGTGTTTGATTGATAGTACAACAAACATTTGTTATTCAGTTACATGTAATGTGTATCATGGAATCTATCACCTATTTTAAATCTCTGTAAATATACACTTCCAGAGGTTTACGTGGATACATGAAACGGGTCATTTATATGTTGATAGATAAACCATGTGTCCTGTAAATTTACCCATGAAGTGAAAATACTATCGAGCAAGTGGGGTCCCTCACGCACTTAAGTGGGTCCCTCATGGCACGTGCTGGGGCGAGTGTCCCCGTGCAGACCCACGGGTGGCCGGTGCCCCTCACAGTGCGCAGAGCCGGCCCGGGGGAGGCTGCTGGGGCAGCGAGCTCACTGTGCTGGGCCCTGGACATGCAGAGTCCAGGGCGGCCATGTGGGGGGCCACACGCAGGGGACCCGAACCTCTGGCTCCGAGCGGGACTAGGTGAGGTCTCAGTCGCCTCCGGCTGTGACAGGCCCCGAGGGGAGCCACGCCGCGGGTGCCCACGGGCCCGGGTCCCTGTGACTTCCCGCCCTCTGCTCTCTCCCCAGGTGTCGTGCGCCAGGTGCGGCCCATCGTGGGCCCGTTCCACACCGTCCTGAAGCTGGAGATGAACTACGTGGTCGGGGGTGTGATGTCCCAGCGGAATGTCGTGCACGTCCATGTCTTCGTGTCCGAGTACTGGTTCTGAGCGCCACGGTGCAGCCAAGCCCGTGCCCCAGGCCAAGTCATTGCTGCCAGTGGCGATGCCCTGTCCCTGTTCTTGCCACACAGACGTGTCTTCACTTTATGTACTGGTGTGTAGTGTTAGGCTGGGCCATGGGAGTACGTCCCTCTGACGTCTCATGGTGTCTAATGAGTCCAATTACTCAACTGTTGGGTTGGAAACCTTGGCTTATTTTTCAATGCAAAGATTATATTTTCCTCCCCTTCTCTGCCGGGGGTGGGCATAGCTAAGGACCAAGGAAAGAAAGATAATTTTCAGGGGTCAGCCAGTCCACAAGCCGAGAAAAACCAGTTCTTGCCCTGATTGTGTGAAACCCGGCACCCGATTCCAAGGATGCGGCTGCTGCGGAACAGCTTCTGCAGCGCGCTCTGCCCGGGGGCACTGGGCCCGCGGAGCCGTTCGAAGGCAAATGGCGGTTGTGTCAAAACAGAAAAGCCTTGGTATAAACACAGCCTCAGCTCTGAGGCCCCCACCCCGCGTCTGTCCGCCAGGGAACGGCTGGGCTCCTCGGCCGCGGCACCAGCTTTCTTGTGGTCCTGGGAAAATAAACAGCGTCGAGATCCTCCTGATGACTGTGCACGGCCGTGTTTCACGAAGGGGGCGTCCCACTCATGAAGGGTCTGGGACTGTCCCCCGAGACCTCAGAGGCTCTCCTGCCTCCCCATATTCTAGAGGCCCTGGGGTATGTACTGGGGGAGCCCCACCCCCGTCATTTCAGGCACCATGCCCTCCCCCGTGACGCGGCTCACTCAGCCCCAGGCTCTGTGGCGTCCTGGCCCCTCAGACGGTCATCAGGGGGTGACGCTCTCTGCGCAGGAAGGAGAGAGGACCCGTGAGCACCGTGCCTGGGCTGGGGTGCTTCACCTGTTCCTCTGCAGCCCAGCCAGGTGGGGTGATCACGCTCACTTAGAGTTGAGCAAACCGGGTGCAGAGAGAACTCAACGGGCTGACGTGGCTCGACTTTTTAGACACAGAGAAGGGGTCAAGCCCCATTCCTCTAAAACCCTGTGTCAGAAGAGACATGGGCCGACTGGATTTATGGGGTGTTCTGTCAGCAAACTCAGCAGGGTGGTGGGCCAGGTGCCTCTACACCCCGAGTCCCCTGCGCCCACGTGGCTCAGCAGCCAGGGTCGGCACGCCTGGCTCCATCCCACTGTGCGGGCCCCGAGCCCGGAGTCGCGCTCCTGCTGGGCCTCATCTCAGCAGCTGGGACCCTCTGCGGCACCGGCTGAGCTGTCCCCAGGCGTCACCCTCTATGGGACTCCCATATTCGCCCCAGCACCTCCGACCCTGCGGCACTGGCCTCCGGCCCCCTCTCGGAGCTCCCCAGGCCCCTGGGGTCACTCGTCACAGGCGATGGCCCTTCAAGCCAGGCCGGCCAGCGGGCAGAGGGCCTGCAGGGGTGGGGTGGGCAGGGCACCTCAGCTGGTGGGAAGAGGAAGGACGGGTTTGGAGCTAAGAGCTGTGTCCGGGGACGAGCAGAGCACCGGGCACATCTCAGCAGCTCTTGATGCCAGTGAATTCGGGTCTGGCAGGGAAGTGGGGGGCAAGGTGGGGCAGGCTGGTGTCTGATCACAGAAACAGGCCTTGGGATAAGGGGAAAGCGATAGGGGTGGGGGTCAGGGAGCTGCCGGCTTGAGCGGCAGAGGGGAAGAGCGGCGCAGTCCTCGCTCGCAGAGTTGGAGACGCCGGGTCCCGCCTCGGCAGGGGCCGCCATCCGCCACGCCTCGGGTCCCCGTCTGCACGAGGGAGCAAGGAACCTCCTCCCCGCGGCCATGCCCGGGCAGGGAGGGGCACCCTGGGCCCTGCCGCTGTGCCCGCTCTCCTGTGAGCTCATCCTCCACCTTTGCCGGGAAGCCTGCAGGGGAGGGGGTGGCAGGGGCTGCACTGCCGGTCCAGCATCTTTTTGAGTCTGCGTTTCCTTTTCTTAGTCACCCCTGAGGGCCTCAAGCGTGCCCCACGCGCCCACCGACTGTCCCATTTCATGTGGTCCCGGCTGGGCCCCCCGCAGTGCCCCGGTGTTCTTGCGAAGTGGTTACTGTCAGACCCAGGGTCAGCTGCATTGGGACCCCTCAAGGGAGCCAGCACAGCCTGCGCCCCGAGGGCCGTGAGCCCCTCGTCACTGCTGCCGGACGAAGCCGCGGAGGGAGCCGCTGAGGGAAGAGCCGCTCACGGAGGGGCGGGGGCTGGACGCCACGCGGGCTCGTTTCGGGTCAGGCGGCAGGAGGAACGGGCGCGAGTCCAGGTCTCCTGCTGAAATGTTTGCTTCGAACCACGGGGACCTGCGCTCGAGGTCGGAGGCGCCCCGGTGTCAGCAGGGAGGCCCGGGTCACCGGTGCGGGGGGCCAGCGCGAGGGCGACAGCCCCGGCCGCCACCTGGGCCCCAGGTCAGTCCCATCGAGGTTCTCAGACTCGTTCAGGTTCGCTCGCCTGGAAGTCACGCTGCCCTTGCTCCTTCCCCGAAACTTCATGATGAAGCGTCCTCGCGCGCAGGGCTGAGGGGGTGACCGTGAAGGCCGGCCCGGCCCACTCGCGCCACGGGACCGGCTTGTGTTCAGAAGAAAGGATGGCTCGACGAGATGCCACACGTGACGTTAGAAGCCGGGTCTTGCAGGCTCGCGCTCCGACCCAACCTCTTCCCCGGCTGTGCGCCGTGAGGAGAACAGGGTTAATCGGGCTTCTCCCCCCACCAGCCTCTAGGGCTGCCGCCTGCGGCCTCGCACGCCCTGGGGCTCAGTGCTCACACGCGATGTTGCGTTGGTGCAAAGAGCGCTCGGGGGCGTGAGCACGAGACACACGTGGACACCCGGGGCGGAGAGTGTGAGCACAGGGCACACGCGCCTGTGATTACAGACCCCGGGCCGAGAGGCCTGAGATGAGGCGTGACAGGTAAATGCGGACACCTGGGGGGCGACTGCCTGACCCCCCAGAGCGCTGGAGAGAGTGGGCATGGGTGCGGGGATCCGCGGGGGCTGGGAGGCTGGGCAGCCCCCTGCTTCGGCCCCAGTCCCCTCCCACCTGCCTCCCTCCCCTGCCTGCCCCCCGCATCTCGCCCCCCGAATGGCGTGATTTGGCAAGACTCCACACAGCACAGGACTGTGGCTTTGGGCTGTCACTTAGCATCTCACGCCCTCATTCTCCTCTGCTACAACACGAGACTAGCCGTACGTGGGGTGAAGGGGCGGCTCAGGAACTCGTGCCCGGGAGGGCCTGGGCCCCGGTAAGCGGCGGCGTCGCTCCAAGTGCAGGTGATGGGACATTCTTTATTCAGGGAGACGCCGCATTCAAGTTTTGAGGGGACACGCCATCGTGGCAGTGACTCGCCAGCGGGGCCTATCAAGGAATAACCTAAGGGGCTTTGTGGGACGTGGTTTCTGGGGGGTTGGGGACACCTGGGCTCAGGAATCCCTGCCCGAGGGGCACAGGCACTAATTCATGTCAGCACACCTGGCTGATGAAACCGTGCACCAGGGGGGCAGCGAGTGGCCAGAGGGAGGGGGCAGGGGCAGCCCACCTAGGGGCCAGCGGTGACTCTCGTGCCCTCTGCAGGCCAGAGCCAGGCGAGTTACCAGGGGCGAGGGGCCTGCGCGTGGAGGGCTGTCATGTCTCACGCAGCCGGCGTGCCAGCGCGCAGCAGAGCCCGCCGGGGGGAGGCTGGCATAGCAATAGTTTCTGTCATGCGTGGAACCACGTGTGGACAGGCTGACCCACGCCGGTGATTATGGGAACCCTTCGGACCTCCCAGGCTCGGTCATCTTGCCAAGAAATGGGCTCTGGCCTGTTCCCCTGTGTTCTGTGCTCTGGTTCAAGGGGCTGCCTCGGAGGGTGTGTTCGGTGCCATGTGAGGTAAACCCTGATCTCTTCCCCTCTGGAACTGGCCGACCAGCCAGCCTGCCCTGCTCCGGCCGCCTGCCCCAGGCCCTGCCCCCACCTGGAAAGCGTGGGGCCTGCTCTGGAGGCCACTCACAGGCTGGGAAGGAGGCTCCCAGCAGCAGCCGTTCCTGGCGTCTGCCCTGGCCGTCTGCCTCCGGAACCGTGAGCAGTAACCGTCCACGGTGTTTGCCACGGAAGCCTGAGTGGACCAAGCTGTGGTGACCAAGACGGGCTGTGAGGGCAGGAGTGCAGGCGCCGCACTCAGGGCCGAGCGGGAGGGAGAGGAAGGTGGCCTGCTGGGCCGTGGGTCAGCAGAGCGGGGAGGGGCTCTTCTGACAGACGGGCCGGGGCTGAGAGTGGTGGAGGTGCCGGTGGGGGTGGTTGGGGGCCTGTTGAAAGAACAAAGTCTGGTTTAGGAGCCGTTCCCCTATGCCCAGCACGCAAAGCGCTGAGTCCAGTGGCATCCAGGACGAGACCAGGGCTGGAGCCGGGAGCAGAGGTGGCGTGGCCCCCCAAACCCGAGCGTCCCTGGGTGGGGAGCAGAGTCCCCCAACATCGTGCCTGCATCAGATCCCGGGAAGCCAGTGGGCGGGGGTGACAGGAGCCCAGCCAAGGCCCAGGTGTGGACCGTGGGGCAGGATGGAGAGCGAGGGAGGTGGACTCGCTTTCCAGAAGTGTCTCGGGAAGCCAAAGGGACACTGGCCAGAGCCCGGGGGCGCGCCTGACTCTGCAGCCTCAAGGCGAGGAGACACCTTCCCTGCGACCCCTCACAGCGCCTCGTGCCGAGGAGCGGCCTGGCCTGGCCTGGCAGGGCCACGGCTCCTGCTGGAGCTGCCCCGTTGTCAGCTGTGAGCGTGGCGGCCCCGCCCAGACCTGGCATGGCCCAGAGCCTGGCGCCGCTCCAGAGGCGTGGGTGTCGGGCTCCACGCTCCGAACAACCACCTTCTTGGGGCGAGTTACCTGCGTGCAATCAATTATGCAATTACCTGGGCTGGGCTGAGGAGAGCAAGCACCAGGTGGTCAAGATGGGCCTTGGGATACTATCGCTTCCTCCTGCAGAGGAGGGCGCCCCTCCCCATCAGCATCCTCCTGGCTCCGGGCTGCCCAGCTCGGCGCGCAGTGACCGCTTGGGACCCTGACCGGAGTGGCCGCCACATGGTGACATACAGCACGGCCGTGTGGGTGCTCGGGGCTGGCGTGTGGCGCTGAAGGGACGTGGCAGTCAGGGCTCAGCCAGAGGCTGGGGTCGAGGCGGGTGGGAGAAGCTGAATTTCGGGCCTTTGCTTGGCGCAGACGCACCAGTGCCCCAGGCTGATTTGGGGCGCATGTGAGCTTGGGTCTTGCACATGGGGTGCCTTGTGAATGGCGTTTCCCGGGAGAGGCTGCAGCGTAGGAGGAGAGGGGAGGCGCCACAGCACCTGTTCTCAAAAGGTCCAAAAGCTGCCTGGAAACGCTTGGCTCTCCTCCTGCTCCCTCGGCCGCTGCAGGACGTTCTGGGGCAAAACCTGTGACCTTGGTGTGGACAGCTTGTGACCGTGTAGGGCAAATGGTTGTCAGGCTTTTCTGCTCTCCCGCCGTTAGGGCTGATGATGGACCCTGCGGTCCTGAATGCATGTCTGATGGCGGGCACCTGGAGTAGGGGGTGGGCCTAGGTAGGTGGCACACCTGGGTGAGACTGAGCTTATAAGGACGGTGTCACGGCTCGTGAGTGTGTC